ACTAAAAAAAAAATTTTTGGAAATAATCTTAAAAAGAAGAAAAAACGATGAAGTAATACACTAATGATTATTACCAAAATGATGGTAAGGTAAACATCTTTCAAAAAAGAACAAAAAATCCTAAAATCTTATGAGGAAAAAAAATTTTTTTTTTTAAAAATAGCGGGAAAATTTATCGTATTTCGTTCCGGTTTTTTAGTTTTCCGGTTTTTTGGTTTTCCGGTTTTATGATTTCCGGATAACGGGTTCTGTACTGATTTGAATTAAAAAAATAAGCTATCTTCTAAAAAGCAAAATTATTGGATAAATGGTACTATTTCGTTTGAAAGACCGTAAGAAGTCGCCTTTCTATTTTTGTCATGTTTTGTCATGTTTGATGTCATAGTTTTGGTAAAAGGCACTACTTTCATCATGGTAATTGGTGCAGTTTTAATAGATACCAAATATTCTCTTATAAAGATACAATGTATTTTATGAGTAAATTTGGAGCTTACAGCAGCACCAATATTGTATATTTTTGTGCTACAGTATAAGTACAAAGTATATAAGTACATAAGCTATATAAAGCTATATAAATATATAATCTAGTATATAAGTTTATAAGCTTGTTTGTGGCGAATTTTAAATATTATGACATCCAGCTATTATAATTGCAAAAGCAAGCTAAGAAAAATAAATTTGCCTTAATTTGCAAGCGTTTAATTTAAAATGAATTCTTGTCTGCAAAATCAGTAAAAGTGATTCTCAAATTTCGTCGAAATCTAATATAAAAGTAAAAGAAAACAACTTATGTGTACATAATTGCTGATACGAAACTAATATTTCTAGGTAACTCTTTCCTTGTATAGGTATTTATAAGTCTCATCGTCGTATTTTGATACATTGTTGCAACTAAGGTATCAGGAAATATTTAAATCGACATAATCCAAAATAACATATTTTATTTTATTTTATTTTATTTTATTTTATTTTATTTTATTTTATTTTATTTCGACTGCTGATGGCTGTTAATATATTTTAAGATTAACTAATAACTGAATTTGTTTACTTACAACAAACACTTTCCTTGAACTTTATTTTAGACACCACGTATAATAATTATTTAACAAATATCCGACATCCAAATACTTATTACAGCTTCAAGGTCAAAGAGATTAGTTAAGAATCTAAGACATTACTCAAACTATTTTTTATTGGATAAATAGAGTGACTCAAAAGAAGTAGATATCTGTGACAATTTTTTTAAAAAAAAGAGTTTATTTCAGAAAATATTAATATTTTTAATACGTACTAAGAAAAGTTTTTACAAATAAAAATTATTAATTTTGTAACTCTGCAGTTTATTTCTGAAAGTTATTCTGCTTATTAATCAATAGGAATAAAATAAAATGTTTACTATAGCAAAATTCGCAATGTACATCAAAATGCCAAAAGACTCACGTTTTTTTTAATATTTTTTTTATTTTTTTTTTATTTATTTATTTTTTTTTGATTTCTGTCAATTTTTGCCGTTAAAGTTCAATGAAATTGATTATGCAATCACTTACTTTACTTAGTAAATAATTGAACCACATAGGAAAATAAGAGACCAGTAAAAATATTAAACACAAAAAACATTTAAAAAAATTAAAGAAAACATATAAACACTAAAAAAATTAATCCAGTGCTCTACTCCGGATTCTGAAATACCCGCAAATAAAAAATAAATGATGTACAGGCGGCCACTTCATTATTTTATTTTAATTTTTCTATGTTACGGCTGTAACTTTGCTTTTTTTTCCACCGAAATTAGTCATCTTTTTTTTAGCATGGACATTTTCTGCTTTATGCAAGAATAGTATTAAAACTTGCATTTACCGTTTTAGGAAAAAGCATTTTAGTCTTTGCAAAAGGATATTAATCGTTCGATATTACAATAGTCGATTTCATTGTTACATTAAAAATAATTGCAGCCTTAAAATGCATAGAGTTTCTAAGAAAGTTGTAAATTTTAAATTTTTTTTTGTTAAAATGAATATTTTGTTTATTTTAACTCTATTTTCAATTGACTATTTATCACAAACTAAATTTCATTTAAGGGACTAAAAAGGGGTTGTTAAGGAAGTTATACAATGTTTAAGTCCGTAACAGTCAACATAAATTTAAAATACTTCAAGCCCGTTATAATCAGCTTGAAAATTTCTGAAACTTTTTTAAACTAACTATAATTAATAAAAATTAGAGTAAATTTAAGCTGAAAGAACATTCAATTTGAGTTATTTTTACATACAATAAAGCTAATTGACTTTTTTTAAAAATTAGTTTCAAGCATTTGTAGCTAAAAAAGTTTACGATATAATTATCTAATTGATACGAATGTATATATGTATATTATTTTCTCCAGAAACAATCTATTTTTAAGTTAAAATCCATTAATATTGATATTAAGCCCAGATTTGCGCCATTATTCTATTAGTTTAGGAACGTTGAAAACTACTTCAGAGAGATATTAAGTCCCTCCTCTGGTAATGAGTCTCCACAATTACGAAGCAACCGCAATTACCAAGAATAGGGCCGTGACGGCTTATTTTATTTTATAACCGTCGTTGAACAGCCGACCCAATTTCATGGGTTTACGACTACTAACGTTCAACTCCGTAGCCTTGTAATTTTGAACCAATCCAGAAGACAAGGAAACTCCTGGATCAGTACCCCCAGAGGTATTGATTTGTTGTGGGAACATGGAGGACTTTGAGACTCGACAGATTTAACGTGCATCAGTCACCATTTACTACACGGGGAGTCTTCGGCCGGCGAGGATCGAACCAACGACCTCTTGGATATGGGCCCAGCCCCCTGTGACGGCTTATTGGATTGAGCGCTCGCCTCCCAATGAAGTGGACCGGATTCGAATCCCGGCGATGACTAGTCGATACGAATTCAGCAACCGACTCGCGCCGACCATAGTGCTGACGTAAAATATTTTCAGTGGTAGACCGATCATGAGTTAGACTTCCCTCGCACTCAGGTTAATCGTGAGAGGTTTTCGTGATTTTCCTCTACATATAACGCAATACCGGGTTAGTTTAACCAAAAAGTCCTCCGCTAAGGTAAATTTCTTTCAATACTAAGCTATCCAGTAGTTATCTCATCTTATAACTAGAGTTCAAACTTACTAGGCTACGGAGTTGAACATTGGTAGTTGTAAACTCAAAATTGGGTCATCAGTTCTACGACGGTGTGACGTATCAAGCTTTATTAAGAAGCAGTTTTTTATGTCATTACAAAACATTTTTTTTTACAACAACAAATGCAGCAACGAAACTAAAATAACCCGTAACGGGTTAGTAATAATCTTGCAATTAAATATAGAAAAATCAGTAACGGGTTGGAGTAAACCTACAAAAAAACATAGAAAACCCGTAACGGGTTTGTAATAATCTTGCAATTAAGTACAGAAAATTCAGTAACGGGTTAGAGTAAACTTACAATAAAACATAGAAAACCCGTAACGGGTTAGTAATAATCTTGCAATTAAATATAGAAGATCCAGTAACGGGTTAGAGTAAACTTTCAAAAAAACATAGTAAACCCGTAACGGGTTAGTATAAAACATCAAATCAAAAACAAAAACTATCTTCTAAAAAACAACGACTCTCTGATTTAATTTATCGATACAGAACGGAACTTATCTCTTAAAAATGGGAAAACTCATAATGAAATCGCAGAAAAAAAAACAAATGTTAATTTCAGGATGCAGTTTGACATTGTATTCTAAATACGTGAATAAATTTAAATGTACGTAACCTTTTTAATGCATGTCCAGTAAATAATTTCTGATTAATAAACATGTCTCTTCATTTTCTTATAAATGTTTCCGCATGCTTTTGTTATACCTAACAAAAGCTTTGTTATACCTGCAAATGTTTTCAAGTAAATTGAGCTAAAATAAGGATTAGTTCAGAATTGGAACGAACGTATATTAAAATTAGAAAATAACTGCAATAGAAATTTTGATAGGTGTCATTTAGTGAGATATTATTTTCTACTTTTGTCTAAACTAGTCAAAAACTAATTTAGACAACATATGAAGAAAAAAGATTTTAAAGTTACGAAGTTTTCTACGTGAATCACATTTTTGATTTCTTAGCATTTTTGCCTAATTTGGCTTACGTTTTGTTTCATTTATTTTTTTCCTGTTTTGAAGATGTTTAAATATTATTAATGAAAGTCAATTAAGAAAGAACTTAACAAATTCTCTTAATTAGCATGAATAAATCTCGTATTATGAGAATAACGTAAAAAAATGAAATTAATATTATATTAGCCAAATGTTTGATTGCCTTTTTGACTAATTTTTAAAATAACAGCTAACCGTCTTCATAAAGCAAATAGATAAAAATTTATATCCATTGAAAAATATATATCTCAAATAGAAAAAGATGCAACGTCTTCTAATTTCTCTTAAAACTACGTAATGATTATGATTGTGCTGTNTTTTTTTTTTTTTTTTTTTTTTTTTTTGTAAAAAAATTATGGCTGCATATTTGCTACTATAATTGTTTCATTTTTGCATAAAATTGTTTTAGCAATATATAAGTTCTTTTTAATTTATTTTTGTTTCATTTTTTCTAATTTAAAATTAGGCAGTTATTTCGCCTTATTGTAACTCAAGACGTCATAGAAATAAAATTCATATCACAGATTTAAACTATTCAATCATTCTCGCGCATAGTAAAAAATATTCTTCGCTGATTGAAAAACAGGAATGCGTATAGTAAATTTTTATCATCGACGTTGGCCTACCAGTATGGTACCCCTGAAAGAGTGGCCAACAAATCTGCCCTTCAGGTGCCTGTACGAGCAACTCGTATGACCTAGGTCATTTTCCAGGTGGGCATTGGAAAAAAAATAATTTTTTTTCATAAATCTTTATCATAATAATAAATTTTCAGTAATTTCTTCCAGCTTCATTTTAAAATGTGTGTATAAACCTTAGAAATGATACTAAATTCAAGACATTTTGCTAAAGCTATGTAGACTGCCTTTATTTAAAAATTGTAAAATTTTTTATGTAAAACAAAAAATACATAATGGTTCTTCATAATATTTAGTAAACATAAAGAATATTGAAATATTAAAAGAATATTGAAATTTTATATATTATTTAAATTTGCTTACTAATGAAGCTTTTAGTAACAGTGACATCAAATCACACTGCTTCATTAAAAAAATTATAAATATCAGTAAAAAAAAAGCATGTGAAAATAAAGTAAAATATAATTGAATAAAGTAAGAAATTTGCTATCAGCAAAATTTTCCAGAGAATTATTGAATTGTCTTTACTTGTCTTGTCTTGTAGACAACTTAACTTTGTTATTGCTACTTCAATAGGTGATAATTTTTAAACAGCGCCTCAATAGATTATTGAAATAATGTAAAAAGAAAACATTTTTAATGATTGATCCTATTTCTTGCTTAAGTGTCAAATAATTAAAGTAAAATTTTTTACGTTAGGTAAATTTTCTTTTTAGGCTTTACTATCTTACAAAAGAATTTTGCTAAGCCATTGGCAATAAAAAGTATAAAAATTTCTTTACGTATAGAACAAGTGGCGATTCCAGTCTTTCTATTTCTTTTCCATTTAAGGGATAAATTACTCTTTCATCACACGTCATAATAGCTTCTCTCGCACCTGCCCATGGATGCGGTCCTTGTAATCTAAACTGATATGGGACGCAAGGACCAAATACTAATTTTAACCAAAGTTGAGGATCTGTAAATAATATTTTCCAAAGGTTTGGCTTTGCACCTATTTGTTCAGCAAGTTCGTCTTTATATTGCACGTAATCAACATGGATGTTTTGTTTATCACTTGGCCCATACCTGTGTTCATTGTCTTCATTCCTTTTTGTAATATCCTCTAACATTTCTTTCTTACTAGGTAATTTCACGTTTCCGGCGAGCACTTGAGCTATAAATCGGCATTGTAACTCCCCTATTGGAAAACCTGGACCAAATGGTAAAAAGAAACCTGCAAAGGCCAGAGTGGAATGCTTTAAATTAGGAGGCCATATACACTTGTATAAATTAATCTGGTTTTCCAAATCTGTACGGATATCTTTTTCAAGGAAAGGCAATTTCCAAGTGTAACCAGTTCCTATTATAACTGCATCAGCTTCAGTGATGGATGTTTCACCTTCGAAAATTACACCAGTCTCAGTGAATTTTGATATCTCTCTTTTTTGAATGATAGATCCAGAGATTAATTTCGATGCAAGGTGGTCATTAAAAACTGGATCTTTAGAAAGAATGTGGAATTTAGGTGCAACTGCATACAATCTTGAGTTGAACTTTAGATCAAGAAGGAAACATTCCAACAACCAACTACATAAATTTGTAGGAAGAACGTCTAGGCAAATGGTGATGTAACGACGAAACAAAACGTAATCAACGGGTAAGCCATGAGGTCCTGCTCGAGTTAAAACATGTGCTCCTGAACGAGTACTTAGGTAAACCTGTAAAGAAAAAAAAATCAATTAACTGATGAAGAATATCAATATTTAAAATTAATGAAATCAAATAAAGATATGGCAGCAGAGTAATGGAAAACAATACCTGATATAATTTATATAATTTAGTTTTTGTTTTGTTAGAATTTCCTTTTTTTTTGTCGTATGCCTGTCTAGGCAAAGGGGGTGCGATTGTTCCTGTTTTTCAGTGGCGCCATCTATGGCGAGGAATTCGACTTCTGCCATACCATTCACACAACCACAGCCCGTTTATAGGGCGGGTCACATTCACACACAAGGAGAAAGGACATTGAACACACAGAGAGAAAGAAACATCCATGCCTTGCCCGGGATTCGAACCCAGGACCTTTCTGATGCAAGGACAGTTCCCTGCCCCCTACACAGGGCGGTCGGCAGAATTTTCTTATAAATAAATAAAATGATAATTCCGGATACTCAACCTTTGTAAAGCTTCATTTTCATTGGAGTTCTTTAACCCTTTCGCGACGATTTTCTTTTTTTTTTTTACAACAGAACAATTTTGGTAGCATAAACTATGGGTAGGGCAGCATTATTGACCGTAGTGCCATCTATATTCTATGAATGAAAATACCTTAAAAAATATTGGCAGGACTGGTGGGAAAGTCTCCTATTTGACAGTGAAGCGTTTCTGTCCCAAAAGATTTTTAGAAATTTTCATGGGACTTATAAGTCCCGCTAGGCGCGAAAGGGTTAAACTTGCAAAGGAAAATTAAAACTACGTATTTCAATAAGAGTATAAAACTACTTTCTACATAGAGCAAAGAGTGATCTATTTTTTTTCTTGTGCATTGAAAATAAAGCTACTGTCGCAATTCTTTCGTAACAGGAGCCCTGTTCATAATTTCAAAATAGAAAAGTCTGTATGCTGCTTTAGCGTCTTACAATTGCTTCGGTTCATTTTCCTTGAAAAGAAATTAGTTTATTAATTTAGAAATTACGTGAAATTAAAATTAAAAATCTCAAAAGTTTAAAAGAAAATAGAGTGATTTCTTAAAATAATCATCTTCGCATCGGAAAATAAGGAACAAACTTATCATAATGATGCGGTGTATCTAAATTGTATAATTTTTATTTTTTTATGCCCATAACGATGATGTCAAAAAAAGATTTTTAAATTTAATCCTATGAATGAAATTTCTGCGAAATTTTATTAGCACAAACATTTAACTAATGTATTTTTGATTTCTATGTCCCGAAAATTGGTAGCTTCATTTAGGGAATACACTGGGTAATTTTCACAAAACCTAATGTAGGGTAAACCAACCAGTGAAGGAACACTACCCAGTGAAGGAACATTTCATATATATTGATTAAAAATGAAAATTTGAAAGTTTTTCTACAAATTGATTGGTAACAATAGCTTACCGCCAAACAATGGGAAGCCATCCAGCAATGTTTTGGATTACCTGGTCAAATAGATTTCTCTGGAAAAATTTTTGAATTTGTTATTATCTCTGCAACATCTTGTTTCTTTGAAAAAATTTTAAGGTGAGTGTTTGTATTTATATATTTGAAGTGGAATTAATTGCATGTGATAGCTTTATTTTTCTCACTGTGAAAAAGAGAATTCAAAATATAGTTATTGAAGTTACGTTTTATTTTTTGTAAGCATCATAGCATAATAAAGTACTGAGATAAGGGGTTGCTTATTCACATGATCACCAAACGATGAAACACCAGTGAAGGAACAAGTGTTCCTTTACTGGGTTTTTTCCTAAGTTAATGAAAATAAAAGATAAACTTTAATTTTCTTGTACCATTAGTGATGTTCCGCATCAAAAGTATGTTAAAAATACGAAAAACAACTTCCAACCAGTGAGGGAACAGGCACGTTCCTTTACTGGGCATAGATTTCCCAGCGAATAAACAGTATGTCTTCATATGTTGACACTTTAATTTTCAATTCATGATTACAAAAAAAGTTTGCATTTTCCAAGTATTTATGTGTTATAATTTCAAGAATAGGCTTTTTTTTAAAATATTTGTATGGCTTATAAATTCATAAAGGGCATTAAAAAATAACCAAAATTAAGTGCTCCTTTACTGGGTGTTCATTCACTGGTAAGAGCTGTTCCTTCACTTGGTCTTCTTACTACTTGTTATTTGAACCTCCAGAACTTTAAAACAATATTATGTAAGTTCTCTAAAAATTTTTTATATAATTTGCAATTAGTAACAAATATGTTGACACTGTCATTTAACTAAAATTATGAATTTTGAAATTAATATGATTTTTTAAATTTCAAGCAAAGCTTAAGTGTTCCTTCACTGGTTAGTTTACCCTAATTATGTTGTTTTCATTTGAAATAAGAAGTTTTAAGTGGTATCAGTAAAGAGGCTTCTTACTATCTACCTTATCAATTTCTTAAGAAAAAAACTATAATTTGATCTAAACGTTAGAGTTCGTGCATAATATAGTACATAAAAGCAATCTTTAATAATTTAAAATTATTCGTTACTTGAAATTTCTAATTTTCGATCTCATTATGGATCGTTTTAAATAAAAGATATATTCGTATGTAATTTCAATCGACGAAATTTTATAACTAAACTAAAATTTGTTAAAATCTTTATTTTAGCATATTTTAAGAATTATTCAATTAAATAAGAATAAGATAATGAAACTGAGAAATAATAATTATATTAAGAAAAAAATACTCGATGGCAGTATTTTATGAAATAACAAAAATTTGTGTGGAAAATTTTACTCAATTAACTTCAATAGCAAATTTACAATGAAAAAAAATAAGTAAAAATTAATAAAATATATTTAATACTTTCTAATTAGATTACTGTTATTTATTGATAAGTTAATATAACTTTTTATCACAAATTATCAAATTTCAAAGCATTTTGTATAAGCATTAAAACATTCAATGGAGCTGACCCACATTTGCGTTATTTGGAGACGAAGACCACGAGAACCTCTTGCTGTTAGCCTGACGGCAAGGGGACTCTATTCCATGATCCGTCTATCACTGAGGATATTTCACGTCAGCACTGTGGTCGGTGCAGGGCGGATGCCGAATACGTATCACCTGGAATTCGATTCCGGTTCGCCTCATTGGAAGGCAAGCTCTCACCCCTGAGCCATCGCGGCTCAAAACATTATGATTCACTGATTCTATTATTTAACTTTTAACATGCGATGGGCATTTTTAACACTATTTCATAATTCCTTCATCCAAAAATAAAATTTTGCCTACAAATTTTTCTAAAAGTGAGTCTCTAAAAGTTTCATTAAATTTTTAAATAGTAGATACGAAACTTAAGAATCAGAAAAAAGCACATTATATAAATATATATATATATTTGAAGTGGAATTAATTGCATGTAATAGTTTTATTTTTCTCACTGTGAGAAAGAGAATTCAAAATATAGTTATTGAAGTTACGTTTTACTTTTTTTAAGCATCATAGCATAATAAAGTACTGAGATAAGGGGGTGTTTATTCACTGGATCACCAAACGATGAAAAACCAGTGAAGGAACAA